TATATATATATATATTTTTTTTTTTTGGTGATGGTGTTTTTGTTGAGAGCACTAATTGTTAATTTTGTATCCCTCATCAGAGTATAAGTTGAGGGAAACAAAGATATTGCCTATTTGTTCATTGTTTTGCCTTCTGAGGCTTGAATAATCTTGACTCATAACTAGAAACTTAGTACTTACTGGGTGAGTAGTTGGACAGAAATGGAAGTAAGAATAGGTAGGTTGGTGGGCAGGTGCATAGGCTAAGCTAGGTGAACCCAATAACTAGGATTAGGTAGTTGTATTTTGATAAAAATTTCCCAGAACACAGGATTTGAGCAGACCAAAAAAAGTTTTAAACGACCAATAAATAAAATTGGAAGGTAGTCATAAAATGCAATAGTCACAGTGGCCGGCTAAGGTTAAAATTAGTTAGTTAGATGATCACAGAGGAAACCCAAGCAATGATTTTCATTTTTTTCTGAAATGTCTCTTCATTTGAACCTATTTCTGTATTTACTTTGTTGTTGAGGAAAAAAATCTGAAAAATTACTAATGTGTTCTTTAAAAGGTAGAGAATTTAATGTCATGCTTGATAAAAATATGTTCCAAACTAGATTAAAATGTCTTTTCTCCCTTTGTAAGGTGCTTAGTTTCTGTAGTGTTTTTATTATGGTCTCTACTTTTTAAATTTTTAATATTTTAAAAAGATGCTTGTCATAGGGCATGTGTGCTTGCTGAAGAGAGAGAAAGAGGGGGAAAATGAGAAATCATCCCCCAGGGGGGATGGCCAAGCTGAAATCCCTTCTCTTCCACTCTCAGAATTTTGGGCACATGCACACATGTTCCTGGTGTGTTTTTCAAGTGTCCAGGTCTAGGACTCAAGCCACAGAGTTGGCTGTATGGGATACAACATCTTAACCACCATGCCACCTGATGACTTCAAATCTGTCTATATTTTTTTACGTAATCTCTTTCATAAATGCCACGTAATGAAAGTTATCTCTTAACTCTTTTAGTCCCAGGCCAGCAGGAGGCATGGTAGTTAAGGTACTGGATTCCCATATATCCGATCACAGTTTGAATTCCGGACCTGGTGGCTTGCTTCCTCACTTTACCTCTCTTTCTTTCTGTCTCTCTCTGACACATTGAAAAACAACAACAACAATAATAAATAAAATTAAATAAATAACTCTTTAAAAATATTTTAGTATGCCATTGCAGTGTTCCATAAAATTATGGCTTATGGACCAGCCCCATGGTCTGGTGGTTAAGGGAGCTGGATCCCACAGACTGACTGTGGATTCAGATCTCAGCCTGAGGGCTTGAAGAACATGCTAGCCTTAGGGTAGCAAATGGCATAGTGGTTATATTGCTGGACTCCCACATGGCTAATCGTGGTTCAAGTCCTGAACCTCGTGGCTTGAAATCACATTGAGTGCATGTGTGTGTGCCCAAGATCCCAGGAGGAGAATGGAGGAGAAGGGATTGCAGTGAGGCCATCTCCCCCTGAAGGATGATTTCTCACTTCCCTTTACACTCTCTCTGTCTCTCTCTGATGAGCCCATGCACCCAAAAGCAAAAAACTTCTTAAAAATAAAAACATGCTATGATTATGGGTGTATTTGCCTCAAATGTCAACAGGATAGAGAAATGGAGGAGAAGAGATTGTGGAATAGCCACACCCCACTGGGGGGTTGCTTTCTCCCTTTTTCTCTCTCTGTGTCTCTCATGTCTCTCTCTGGTGAGTGCATTTGACCTATGGCAATTTAAAAAAAAGTCTGGCTGTGATTTGTGTATGTGTGCACATGTGCACGTATGATATCAGAGTTTAGTCAACTATGATATGAATCAAACAGCCTTTACTAGGGGGCAAATGACTTTTGGAAAGTCAGTGTAAAGGCTTGGATGTTGCAAGTACAGAGGTGTCTATCATTTATGAAGGACAAGTAGTTAGTGCTCACATTGTCAAACTAACATAGTGATCACCCTTTATTAAGCTATTAATGCATGTAAATTCTTTTTTTTCTTGAGCCAACATGAGCCAAGAAAATAAAGAAACTAAACCATTTTTTTTTAAAAGTTTTTGCCATAGGGCACATGTGTTCTCTAGAGAGAGACAGAGAGAGGGAAAGTGAGAAATCACTCCTTCCCCAGAGTATGGCCATACTGCAGTCCTTCTCTAGGGATTTGGGGGCACTTATGTACATGCACTTGGCATGATTTTCAGGCTATTGGGTCTAGGACTCAAACTGAGGTTGGCCATGTGGAAGTATAGTGCCTTAACCACCATGCCACCTGCTGGCCCCCTCTACTTCCACGTTTAAAATGAAAAAGTTCTAACGTTTAAAAACAACAGCTTCCTCAGCTTCTCATGAATGTCCCCTGCTGCTTCCCTCGTTGAAGCAGGTGACTGGCAGTATGGCAAGAGTCAAAGTCAAATGCATCAACCACTACCTACTTCCATCCCCAGGGACTTCAGTCCCCTCCAAATAGGGTTTGACCCTACATGCCTCACATGAAAACTGAGCCAACCTTCATTTTCATATTTTCAGGAACAAATGATATCGACATCCTCATAGATTTCTCAAATTGACACGATGAGAATGAAGTGCATTTTTCTGGGTCACATATGAACATTTTTCATGTTTGTTATTCTCGTCAACTGTAGTAGTATACTCTTATGTATGATGGAGAAAAAAAGCCATGAATCTTAAAAGAACTATGGTGTCTGAATCCTTTTTTTATTCCAGGAGTTCCGGCAACATTTGCTGCAGCCTGGGCTGTGGCACGAGCCACTCTGGCTGATGCGAGGTGAGTGAGGAGAAAGGTAGAGACCCTTAGACTCTCCAGACTCAGACCCCCTGCTTAGAATTCACACTCGCGGCTGTTCTTGATGCTGTTGCTCTTTACAGATGCCACGTGAAGCTACCTGGACGCAACAGGAGCTTTCAGTACATTAGTAGCAAGCTCTCTATCCCAGAGGGCATAGAACGGAAGAACTCACAGGGCAGATTAAGATGCTCAGACTCTATGGGTTACAAAATCAACTTATAACATATGGTGGGAAGTGAGGGGGAAGAGATGGGTAAGTGCCGGCAGGTGGGAGGATACACGCCTCATAGGTCAGACAGGCACTGGTCATGTTCTGGCTCGCTCTGCCGCTTCGGCTTTCCCTCATCATGGCGTTGTTATAAGGACCGCAGTATGAGGTTACAGCCTCACAGGAAGAAGGTGACACACAGGAGCTGTCTCAGAGATGCAGGGGCAAGTTTGTTGCCAGATTGATGGATTCTTAGCCTGCTGAGCAGCTGTTCATTTTATTTGTGATTCTTGGGCAAAGGACATGTGGAAATAGGTTTCATCAGTCAGTGGCTACTTTAAGACCTAAAGAATATTGAGCATCTGTGTATCAGGCGTATTTTGTCTCTCATGTATTCAGTGTATCATGAATGTGCCCCGTTGTCTCATATGTCTTCATTATTTATGATTAACACACATGGACTCACAAATCATTTATCCTGGGGCTGGCAGGTGGCGTGGTGGTTAGGAGTGTTGGACTCCCTCATGGCCTGGACCCAGCAGCTTGCTTTCTCATTTTCCCTCTCTCTTTCTCTCTCTCACTCTATCCCTCTATGTTCAAATTAAAATAAATAAATGGGTAAAAGAAATACGTTGCAATAAAGTAATTCTTTAAAAAAGAAATTATTTATCCATATTTAATGCAGACTATGGATTTCATCCTTTTAATTTTTTTTTAATCCTCCATAGAAGAATTCTTTTAAGTTTTTTCTTTTTTTCTTTTTGCTGTAGGGCACATGTGCTTGCTGGAGAGAGAAAGAGACAGTAAGAGAGAAAGTGAGATATTACTCCCCAAGGGGGATGGACACACTGCACTTCTCCATTATCCTGAGATTTTGGGCATGCACACACACACAACTGGTGTGATTTTTAAGCCACCTTGTTCAGGACTCGAACCACAGTTGACAATGTGGGAGTCTAGTACTTTAACCACCATGGCACCTGCTGGCCCTGACGACTTAAATATTTTAAAATAATAAAACAAATGCACATTGAAATCCATCCCTTTCTTTGAATCATTAGCACCTTCCAGGTAGCATGGGATTAATTTAATGTAGCCTTTAAAAGTAAGTACAGAGATGGGGCCGGCAGGTGGCATGGTGGTTAAGGGTGCTAGACTCCCACATGGCCAATGAGGTTTGAGTCCCGGACCTGGTGGTTTGCTTTCTCATTTTCTCTCTCTTGCTCTCTCTCTTTCTCTCTCTCTGTCCCTCTCGGGTCAAATAAAAATAAATAAAGTTAAATAAAATAATTATTTTTTAAAAAGTAATGTCTTGTGATGTGATGTTGAAAACTCATTTTCTTTCAAATTTTCAAGATTTTGAATTTAGTCTTAGTTCAGGTGGTGCGAGTTTGGTGACCACAGGAAAGACACATGACCTGTTCACGCATCAGTTTCTCACTTACAAAATGGAGATAATGCAGAAATGACGTGAATAAGTACAAAACACTTAGCGCAGTGCGTCAAATAGGAAACACTAAATGGGCCTGTGATGAGGGGGAGCTCAGGGGCAGGTACTAACAGGGCTGCTCTGGGACAGCAGGTGCGCTACCTAACCTCTCTGAGCCTCAGCTTTTCTCATCTGTCAAATGCAGATAAAATGAATGCTGCTCTTCTCAGGTTGTTATAAGATTAAATAAGGTAATATATGTAACAAACAAACAAACGCAGCCCAGAGTTTGCAATACACTGGCAGCGAGTGCTATCTATCAGCACACATTGTTTCTTTAATTATTTTATTAATTTGTATTTAATACAAATTTAATACAAATTTGATAAAAACTGACATTTCTGTTGATTGCTATTCCATTAGAAAGCAGGACTCATTCTTCCACTCATCTGATATTTTGATTTTGATTCTGTCAAATCCATGGAGCTCTGATTTTGCTAAAGCTAGAGCTTAAAACTTAGGCTGGGGAAGAGATATGACCTTCCAGACATGTGAGAGGCCACATTCAGATATTTGGTCTTTGGTTAGTGATAATGACAGCACACTTGCATTTTGTAAAGATTTTTAGCAGGACATGGTAGAAAAGTAGGAGGAAAATAGTAAAAATAGTGGCTAGCATTATTGACTATTGACCAGGTACGTTCTAATTTGAAAAGATTAAGCTAATTGAATGTTATATCCACCCTAGGAGACCAAGACCAGAGCCCAAGGATGGACAGCCATAAATCGTAGAGGTTAGACACTTGGGTTCCGGGAACACTCAGTAAATACTATGGGCAGATTTGTTGTTTCTACGGAGATAAGAGGCGTTTTTGTTATCTGTGGAGGAAGTTAGGGAGGGATTCCTTTTATGGTATCAATGACAGCTAATTGCCCTTCAGGTGTTTTATATTTGATAATCAAGAGTTGCAGGGAACCAGCAGTTAGCGTAATGGCTATGTCGCTGGACTCCCACGTAGTCGACCGCGGTTCGTGTCCCGGACCGGGTGGCTTAAAACTCACGCCGGGCGCGTGTGCGTGCGTGCCCAAGATCCCGAGAGGAGAATGGAGGAGAAGGGATTGCGGCGTGACCATCCCCCCTGGGGGGTGATTTCTCGCTTTCTGTCTCTATGTCTCTCTCTGTCTGTCTGGCGAGCGCACGCGCCCTACAGTGAAATTCTCTCCAAAAAAAAAAGAAAGAGTTGCAAAGGACAATGTCTATTGTACACTAGGCAGTGTGTGCTTGTCTTCACTACATCTGACCTTCTGTCCTCCTACCCTGGAGTTTTCAACAATTTACATTTTTTCTTGAGCTTTGAGCTCATGCTTATGTATTCATGTTGCATGTATACATACAGTGTTGTCGACTAGCATGTGTTTTCATTTACGTGATAAAATTAGACATACCTGAATTTCATGGTGTGCAGAAAGAAAAACCGTAAATACACGTGCTCACTACCTCTTCAGTGTAGAGGGCATGAGTGAAATTCTGTCTTATCATACTTATCAGCACTTGCTGATGTTTTTAAATGAATTCATATGAATCCATTTGACCATTTCTCTCCATTTCCTAAGTACGTACTGAACAATGATAAAGTCTGAGTTAACTCAAGTTGTGAGCTACTGCGAGATGTGTTTTTTCTTGTGTTCACTAGCTATGGCAGCTTCTCAGCCTCAGTCTTCCCATCTGTAAAATGAGAATAATATTCTTTATTTTATGGGGCTGGCTGGTGGCATGGTGGTTAAAGGCACTGGATTCCCACATGGCTGACTGTGGTTTGAATCCCAGACCTAGAAGCTTGCTTTCTCACTTTCCCTTTCTCTCTCTCTCTCTCTCTGTGTGTGTCTCTGTCTGGTCAAATTAAAAAATGATAAATGGAATTAAATAAATAATTCTTTGAAAATAATATTCTTGACTTTAACTGAAGTTGTGAGTCTTCACAGGGTAGGCTTTTATTTTTTTAGCTTATTTAACTTTATTTATTTATTTAAATTTGATAAGAGAGGGAGAGAGAGAGAGAGAGAGAGAGAGAGAGAAAGCAAGCAAGCTGCCAGGGCCAGGATTTGAACCATAGTTGGCCATGTGGAAGTCCAGTGCCCTGAACCACCGTGCCACCTGCTGGCCCCAGCATCGGCTTTTAATTGGCTCAAGTGAACTTTGTCCAGAGCCTACAGGTTGTCTTTTACTTATCTTTAGGCACTGTATGATGAATGAGAACTGAAATATTCATTTAAAAATATTATTTCCATTTGTAGTAATTAGTCAAAGAAAAGGAGAAAGTGGAAGAGCATTCAGATACCTGTTCTTTGCTGTCATGGTCAAGGTTTTGTTATGAACTAATCTGTGTCTCCCTAAAATTCATACGTTGAAGAACTGTTAGCGGATGGGAGAGTGTTGAGCTGCGTTGTGAAATCCTTGGTTCTTTGGGTCCAGATCACTAAAATTAGAGATCTGTCCCTAGGCGCAAAATGAAACTGCAACCACGAATGAAGTAGGTAGAAAAGAAGATTTAATAAAACGAAACGAAAAAGAAAGGAAGTACACCCAGAAAGGTTGTTGGGCGGGCGGATTGCCAGGTGGCAACCACGCTTGGTGCTAGTTAACCGTTATTTTTATTACTAGAGGTCATGAATATTCATTAGCGGGAGGCCCCTTACGCTGTCTATGTCCTTCCTTTAAATTAGAATCCACATGTTATTTTCCTGCACCTGTGCACCTTCCTCACAGGTAAAGAATGAAGAACTTGATCACCTAATTGCGCAGGCCCAATGCGAGCCAGGCTGCCCCAATTAGACTGCCCAGTTAGTCCATCACCCTAATGGGAATTAGAGCATTGACCAAAACACTTGCTTGTGTCTTTTTGATAAGAGAAAAATCTACGAACCATCCCTGTGCGCTTCCCTCAGGCCCCAAGGAAGGAAGATGGCAAATTGTCTCGCCCTCCTGGCACCTTGGAGCTAGATGAGCCTTTCGCTTTTCTCTTAGGGCTGCCTGCTCATGAATAACTAACTGCCTACTACAGAACCTCTACTGTGATTGTATTTGGTGATAAAGCCTATGAAGAGGTAATTAAAGCTGAATGAGGCCGTAAGAGTGGGGCTCTGCTGTTGTATTGGTTTGTCGAAAAGTCATGACACCTTTTTACATAGAAAAGTATGTCATGGCTTTTCTGACCACCCAATGGGATTGGTATCCTTACCGGAAGAGACAGCAGAGGGCTTGCTTTCCTTCTCTCTACACACATAGAAGAGGTCATATGAACACACAGCGAGAAGGAGGCTGCCTACAAGCCAGGAGGAGAG